TGTTTACTTGGTGGTATGATCTGATGTTCTGCTTGGGCTAGGCAAAGATAGGATCACATGGTGACTCCTATTTATGGGTTCAGATATTTGGCAGTTGCATGCAAAATCTTATATCAAGGACACACACATTCCTCAGTGACATCCATCATCCCTTGTGTTGAGGCAACAAGTAAATGAAACGAACGTTTACTAAAGGCACTACCATATGCTGTGTACTGTGCCAGACACTTGTTATTGAATCTTCCTAGTAGTTCTTGAAGTTCCTGTTATTCCCAATAAAAGAGGAAAAAATTAAGGCTCAGGGAAGTTATATAACTTGTTCAGGTTTTTATGTCCAGTAAGTAGTAGATTTGAATCTGAGCTGATTCCAAAGACCATGCCATACCTGATCTATAGCTGTAGAAACTAAAGCAATTCCATCTCGGATGCTAATCTGCCATGTTAATTTCTGATTAACTCTAGTTCTGGAAAGGCCTCTAAAGATTTCATTTATCAATTGTTGCTTGTATAAGAGGAAACAAAAATCCCGCCCTTAAGCAATTGTCCTATGCATCCTTCTGAAACACATATGCCCTTTCCCTGTGGTACATAAGCCCTGGATCGGGGCTGGGAGGTAATGGCATGGAGATCCACCATCTTATCTTACCGTAGTCTGAGATACTGATATGATTTCTGTAGCTAAGCCACTATCAAATGTTTCCAAGAAACTGGATTTGTCAGCCTCTTTATTTGGCCTCTCAACTTCCTCAAATTTTTAGGGGCAGGTTTTGTGTTAGTCTGTTCTCACACAAACTACCTGAAACTGGGTAATTTATTTAAAAAAAGAGGCTTAATTGGCTCACTGTTCTGTAGACTGTACAGGCTTCTGCTTCTGGCAAGGAATCAAGAAACAATTATGGTGGAAGGTGAAGGGGAGCCTGGCAGGTCTTACATGGCCAGAGCAGGAGGAAGAGAATGAAGGGGAAGGTGCCACATACCTTTAAATAATGAGGTCTTATGAGAACTCACTGTCTATAATGGAACAGCAAGGGAGATGTCCACCCCATGAACCAATCACCACCCACCAGGCCCCTCTTCCAACATTGGGGATTATAATTTGACATGAGATTTGGGTGGGGACCTAAATTCAAATGATATCACCTGCCCACCACAGAACATGTGGCAAGTTAGCCAGGAGTTGAGAGGCTAAGAAGTGGGCAAAAAGAAAGAAGCATTTGTGGGGGAAATTCAGGGTGGCAGCCATTTGTATGTGGTGGTGTGGCTCACCTTTTAGAAGTCTGTGCACAAGTACAGGGACATGCTGAAAACGCCAGCGTGTTTAGAGTGATTGGTAACTGAGAACTGTCTATCACATGGTGGTAAGGAAGGGGGGTGAACTGCTGCTGCAGTAAGGTGGCTGCTTCTCTAGCAGCCATTTGTTGATGGGAGCCCATTCAGCAGCAGAAGCACAGTAAAATGGCTTCAGTAGGAGTTACAATTACAAAAAAAAAATGTTTTTTGAGAGCTCAGAGTCAAAAGCCAACTTAGTTAAAAATAATGTTTGGACTATGTATGTATAGATATGTTTTATTCTAAGGCCTCTGCCCTCTCTCTATAAAACTTCTCAGTCAACTGAATTTTTCTTGTTTCTCCATTTCCTTGACTGTCTATCCTTTCTCTTGCCACTCTCAATGTCAGAGGCATTCGAACCAGAGGGACTCCATTATGAATAGGAGCTGGGTGAAATAAGGCTGAGACCCACTGTGCTGGATTCCCAGGAGGTTAGGCATTCCAAGTCACAGGATGAGTTGGAGGTCAGCAGAAGATACAGGTCGAAAAGACCTTGCTGATAAAACAATAGGTGGTAAACCAGCCAGCCAAATCCCACCAAAACCAAGATGGCAATGAAAGTGACCTCTGGCTGTACTCACAGATCACTATATGTTAGTTATAATGTATTAGCATGCTAAAAGATATTCCCACCAGCACCATGACAATTTATAAATGCCATGGTAACATCAGGAAGTCACCCTGTATGGTTTTAAAAGGGGATTAACGCTCAGTTCCAGAAATTGCCCACCCCTTTCCTGAAAAATTCATGAATAATTCACCCCTTGTTTAGCATAAAATCAAGAAATAATCATAAAAATAGCCAACCAGCAGCCTTTGGGGCTGCTCTGCCTATGAAGAAGCCATCCTTTCTTTCTTTACTTTCTTAATAAATTTGCTTTCACTGTACTCTATGGACCTGCCCCACATTCTTCCTTGTGTGAGATCCAAGAACCCTCTCTTGAAGTCTGGATTGGAGCCTTTTTCCAGTAACATAAATGCCACATGAGGGACTTAAAAGGAATTTCTGACACCCTGAGATGACTTGGGGAAAACAGAAAAGGTGCCAGACTCCTCTTTTTTGGGAGAAACTGGTTTTTTTTTTTTTTTTTTTTTTTTTGAGATGGAGTTTCGCTCTTGTTACCCAGGCTGGAGTGCAATGGCGCAATCTCGGCTCACCGCAACCTCCTTTTTTTTTTTTTTTTTTTTCCTTTTCTTATGGAACCCTAAGAGTTATAAGCAGACACATCCCTCTCATGTCTAAACCCTGCTGCCTTTTGTGTTGTGTTACTGATCTCTTTGGCTTTGCAAGTACCAGAGATTACTTTGAACTGTGAGAGGACTTGACCCTGATATGTGTAATGGCTGACAGTCATGGGTGAGAGCTACAGTGTTAGAGGTGGCTGATATGCTTTGTATGCAAGCCATGGGGACTGGCTTTATGATAACAGAGATACTCTCCCACTGAATATGCCCATTACTCAAGTCATGAAAAATGCTTACAGAATCAAACAACAGTTCAAGAAGCTTTATCAAATTTGCTGTCTCAGCCTTCCCCTCTGAATCTTAAATGGGGAAAGGCAGAGGGGAGAATCAAATAACTCATGCTAGGAAGGTAAAAACTTTTAAACAGTTATTTAAAAGTAAGGTAAATTAGGGCAGGACAGTGGCTCATGCCTGTAATCTCAGCACTTTGAGAGGTTGAGGCAGGAGGATCACTTGAGTCCAGGAGATCAAGACAAGCCTGGGCAACATAGTTAGTGAGACACTGTCTCAGAAAAAAAAAAGAAAAGAAAAAGAAATAGCTCGTATCAGTGTGCTCAAAAAAAATAGGTAAATTAAAAAATATTGATGAGGGGAAACTAAGACAAAAATAGAAAGGGAAAGTCATGAGACTGGTCTCAGCAGGGTGAAAATCTTTAGATGGTTATTAAGACATGAAATGAATAAAATGGAAACTGATAGTGTTAACGATCTTAATACAGTATTATTGAAGGCTGAGAGGGCCAAAGGGAGCCCCTGCTGGTCCCTCATTGTTAAAGAGCCCCAAGTCAGTTTTCTGTATTTATTCCAGATTAGAGAGATTTAAAAATTCATAAGGCAAAGTTACAATGAGAAAGCTGAGCCACAAATGTGAACCTTCTGCTGGGAACCCACAGCCTTTTTCACCACAGAGGGTAAAATGGTCTGAGGCAGAGAGGAAGAGTTTCTGGGACTACCACTTAAGAATGTAAAGACCAATAGGATTATAAAAGTTAAAGTGTTTAGGCTTTATGTAAAGTAGTTATGTCTTTTTCATCTAAGTGTTTTATCGGAATAGGACTGGGAAATATTTTCCTTATCTAGTATTCCAGAACTGAAGGCATGTAAACGTGCCCTTCAAGCAATATTGCTTGAACACGCTAAATGGGAACCAGTAAGACTGCCTGAGTCCTCAGAGTATAGAATTGATGCTGGAGTGATGGTAGAGACAAGTTCTTTGATAGCCCTTTATAGATCATTCCTTGGGTTTTATGGCAAAAGCCTGTGAGCTCCCTCCTTATGACAACTAATGGGACTTTGGACTGGAGAATTTCCACTTGAGGGGCATTTACTTCCTTGCTATGGGAACATTAACTGAAGCCACCCTATGACTAAAGTACATGACATGAGCTTGGCACCTGAAATACCCATGCTGTCTAGGGTGATGTCAGAGAAATACTCTGATGAGGACAGCAGTACTATAAATGGTTAATACTGTCAACTTGATTGGATTGAAGAATACAAAATATTGATCCTGGGTGTGTCTGTGATGGTATTGCCAAAGGAGATTAACATTTGAGTCAGTGGGCTGGGAAAGGCAGACCCACCCTTAATTGGGTGAGCACCATCTAATTGGCTGCCAGCAAATATAAAGCAGGCAGAAAAACATGAAAAGGAAAGCCTACATCTTTCTCCCATGCTGGATGCTTCCTGCCATAAAATATGGGACTCCAAGTTCTTCAGTTTTGGGACTAAGACTGGCTCTCCTTGTTCCTCAGCTTGCAGATAGCCTACTGTGGGATCTTGTGATTGTAAGTTAATACTTAATACACGACCCTTTACACACAGACACACACATACACACACACATCCCTCCTATTCGTTCTATCCCTCTAAGAGAACCCTGACTAATACAAGTGCTCAAAAGAGTTCCATAATAAAATGAAAATGGTTTACGTAGGATCATGCTACACGGGGAGTATAACGAGAAGATATGAGCAGAGAGCCTCTTCTTCCCTGTGACTGACTCTAGACTATGCGAGGAGATGCTGGATTCTACAGTGCCCAATAAATAGCTCTCACCTGACTGACAAAGAGCTGCTTGGTTTGTGGATGGCAGTTCCTATGTCAAAAGACAACATCCTGTTTACAAGGCTGTTACCCTGATTGAAGAAGAGTCAAGAAAATCTTTTTCTTTTGAGGAATTAATAGGTTAGCTTAAATTGGGTAAAGCATACTTCTGTGAGCAAAATTTATTTTTCTTTCTACTTGATTTCTCCAAAAATTGGAAACAATTTATGAGTATTCTTATTTTATGGCAATATAATTATTTATATGTTTAGTAAGAATCAGGTTTTATTTATTTATTTATTTATTTATTTATAACAGGACATGATTGGAGGCACCAGTTATTTTGCCAAGGCTTTCACTGGAATGCCATATTTTCACAGGACCAGACTGCTTTGAGGAAATAATGTTGACTTTACAGAGCCTATAAAAAGCTTCTTGGAAAGACTGGCCTAGTACCTTGTCTATATGTTTCCCTTACAAGGTTCCTGACCTGTGGTAAGTAAAGAATGTCATTTTTTTAAAGGTCCAGGAACTTCAAGATATTTGGGGAACTCAGGAAGAGGGGAACTCACCCAGTTCATGCAGGTATTGCAAGCACAGTCTGATGGTGAATCTTTAGCTGGGCTTTCTAGTCTCAAGGATTCCTTGTTAAAGTTCCAGCAAAGTCAACTTAAAGGAAGCCTGTTGGCTAATCACCATTCTTGTACACTTTATGCAAATAAGCAGGCCAAGTAAAGTGAGACTAAAATTTTTTTCCCAAATTAATTACTCCTACAATTTATCCTTGGGAGAAATGGGAAAACTAAAGATATATATATATATATATATATATATATATATATATATGAAGAAAACTATAGTAGACCCATTAATTATTAGATTCTAGCCTAACCATTGTTTTTGAGTTTTTAAATCCTGAATTGTTCTCTGGCTACAAGAAGGCTCTAAAGAAGTATTGGGTTTTAATTTTCTTGATGATGCTTTTAGTTGGATCCTTAATGCGCCAGGTTCTTTTCTGTTACTCTTGTTCTGGCATACAAATTATCTTTTGATTATAATCGTTGTGAGCATTATATTTCTACTATTCAAATTATTAATGTAATATATCTCTCACCATTTTACTCCTTCTGAGAAAACCAAAGCCATAGTATTCTGAAGACTAAGAAATGATTCAACAGAGCTTGTGAGCCTGCCTCATTCGGAATCCCACTGGGCCCAATCCGTTTTCCAATGCCAACTCACTGCTGCTAAAACTATACAATGTAAAGCATCCTCCCTAAAGCCTCAGGGACCACCATGGAAGAGGAGGGTATGTAAAATTGTCACTGCCAGATTATGGGAGTGGAGGGTGGAGGCTACACCAACCTCATTTTGAATGCTAGTCTGTCATGTTGATTTCTGATTAACTCCAGTTCCGGGAATTTTTATGATTTCTAGTTTATTGTTCTTTGTATAAGAGAATATACTTATCATAAATCCTACCCTTAAGCAATTGTTTTGTGCATCCCCTCTGAAGCACATATGCCTTTTCCCTGTGGCATATAAGCCCCAAGTCTGGGGGTGATGACATGGGGAATCTACTATCTTGTCTTGCCACTGCCTAAGACCCTATTCAGTGATTCTTCCTGAGAAACTGGATTTGTCAGCCTCTTTGGTGTCTCACCGTCCTTGGACTCTGAGGGTAGATTTGCATAGACCTGCCCACCTTGAGACAACAGCAAGGATACCTCTGTGGTGTATGAACAAATCTATTGAAAATATTTATAGTGTGTATTTGTATAGTAGTTTAGACTACTTTATACTTTCATATCTAATATATCATTTGTACTTCACAATCCATTTTGCAGAAAAGCAATTTTTTGATTCTAGGGAGTGGCTCACCAGGAGGTTTACAAATATTAATCTCATCTAGTCAACTTACTTTGGCAGTATGGGGTCATTCTAATCGAAATGCATAACCTCTATACATTTCAAACTGGAAGCTGAAGTTTTAGGGCTGGAAAATGTTTTTTTTGTTTGTTTTTTGTTTTTGAGACGGAGTCTTGCTCTGTCACCCAAGCTGGAGTGGAGCACAGTGGCACAATCTTGGCTCACTGCAACCTCTGCCTCCTGGGATCAAGCAATTCTCTTGCCTCAGCTTTCCGAGTAGCTGTGCACGCTGCCAGGCCAGGCCCGGCTACTTTTTTGAGCTCAGGGAATCCGCCAGCCTCGGCCTCCCACAGTGCTGGGATTACAGGTGTGAGCCACCACGCCCAGCCGAAAACGTTTTTATTTGTGTGAGCAAGTGTTTCATTCCAGACTGATTTATTCTTGGGTTGTGACAGGTCCAGACTCTTCTAATCTCAAAGTCCCATGAAAGCCAAATGAAAAAGTTTTAAAACACAGAAGCTAGGATATTAGATGACTCTTAGGTGAACAATGTTTTTTAGACCAACTTCAGTCAGGTACCTTAATTTCTCCTAGTACTGGACTTGTGGGCCAGTATATATTATCAGGGTTATTTTAAAAGTATGGAAGATGATGATCTCTAAGTTCTGATACGCTGCAAAGCTTATACAAGGCTTAAAATTCATAACCTTGCCTGATGTTTTTATTTTCCTTAGACTCCTAGTTTGTTCCCTCTCTCTCCAATTTCCCAGTTTGTTCCCTTCCTCTCCGACTGTTTTACTTTACCAAGACACTCCAAGTAAGTTGGAGCCAACTTCGCATTCATACTTTGTTTCCCAATTCCCCAAACCCAGAGAAAAGTCGACCTGATACTCAAAATGCTAAGACAAATTACAGAAGAATGGAAAGAAAGTTATTGCCTCTAGAAGTAATACGGAGGTTTTGTGATAAGGAAAGAAGTACAATAGAAAACTCATCTCAATCACTTCAATCACTGGACTCAGCCTGTGCTTTGAGGTCAATTTTCAGTCCTCTAGTGTCTTTCTGCTTTTAATTAGCTATGGAAAGCAAAAAGGGAAAATATTTTCCTTTATTTGAAACATATTGCTGGATATTCCTTTTCATTGTTTGGGAAAGATAAGTTTGATATCTCCTGGATATTACATTATTTTCAGTGCACTGAAGAATGGTTCTATTTGCATTGAACACGGGTCTACTCACTGGTCTCCTAATCTAGCCTGGGACATTGTATAGCAGTTCTGAGCTCTTTCAGGAAGCAGTCTGCCCAGTGCCCAAGGTTCTGCAAACCAAATCAGACTAAGTCATTGATGCCAGATGCACTGAAGGTCATCTAAAGGCCCTTGCTTTCTCCCTCATGGGTCTTTAGCAAACTATAAAGTGAAAGCTCGTCTTAGTTGCTTCTCTATCCCCTGTTAGTTTCTTCTACCCTCTTAGTCCCTCCTCTGCTTTCCTTTATAACTAGATTGTTACAACAGACAGAGAATGTGACAGATTGACAGATACTGGTTTCGGGGAGTTTATTTTTTTTTTTTTGAGCATCAGCTGATATTTTCTATTATCCTTTGAATTGGGGAGGGGGAAGGCATGTGACCAAGGAATGGACAATGGGATGTGGGCAGAAGTGAAGTCTCTAATTTTCCAGCCTTTCCCAGGCACACTACAATTGACTATTTCTTCTTATTATTTTTTTGTGTTATCCTGAAACACCAAATAATTGACTATTTCCAATTGCACTAGGCTATAAAGAAATAAAGAACCAAGTTTATGGGAGTAACCTCAAAATAAAACAAAAAAGTTCCAAGTTCTCTCCAATGAACAGACTCCATGAGCCTTAATATGTGCTTATTATGGGATGCATTTGGCATAAACTGCAGTAGTCTCAAAAATCTCTCTCCCACAAAGACGTCCACATTCTAATCCCCAGAACCTGTGAATATGTGGGCTTGCATGCCAAAGGGAACGACCTGTAAATCTCCAAGGCCTAGTGAATATGTGGGCTTTGCAAATGTGATTAAGAATGATGAAGTTAGTCCTAATTATCTGGGTGAGACCAATGTAATCACAAGAATCCTTATAAAACAGGGACCCCCAACCCCTGAGCCACAGACAGTTACTGGTCCATGGCCTATTAGGAACTGGGCCACACAGCAGGAGGTGAGTGGTGCGCAAGTGAGTGAAGCTTCATCTATATTACAGCCACAACCCATTGCTCACTTTACCATCTGAGCTCTGCCTCCTGTCAGATCGGCATGGTATTAGGTTCTCATAGGAGCGCAAACCCTATTGTGAACTGTGCATGCAAGGGATCTAGGTCGCATGTTCCTCAGAAGAATCTAATGCCTGATGAGCTGCCCCTGTCTCCCATCACCCCCAGATGGGATCATCTAGTTGCAGGGAAACAAGCTTAGGGCCCCAATGAGTCTACATGATAGCAAGTTATATAATTATTTCATTATATATTACATTGTAATAATAATAGAAATAAAGTGCACAATAAATGTGATGTGCTTGAATCATCCTGAAATCATCACCCCAACTCTAGTCCACAGCAAAATTGCTTTCCATGAAACTGGTCCCTGATTCCCAAAGGGTTGGGGACTGCTGTTATAAGGAAAAGGCAGAGGGATATTTGCCTACAGAAGACGAATATCAGGGTGATACAGCAGAAAACTTGGCCATTTATTGCTGGTTTTGAAGCTCAAAGCAGGGGTCACTCTAGAAGTTTGAAAAGGCAGGGAAACAGATTCTCCCATAGAGCTTCCAGAAAGAATGCAGGCCTGCCAACAGCTTGATATTAGCCTAGTGAAACTAATTTCTGACCTCTAGAACATCAGGGTAATAAATTCATGTTGTTTTAAGCCATCATATGTATGGTAATTTGTTATAACAGAAGCAGGAAAGTAATACATAGACCTTTTGATGTTTTCCCCCGACTCTCTTTTATATTTTCCTTTACATTGCTAAGCCACTTTGCATAAAGGAGATTGTCCTGTGAATAATAATAACAACAGATAATGTGCACTAAGTGCTAACTGTGGGCAGGCTATTATTCCTATCATTTTTCAGCAGTTATATCATTTATTCTTCAAAATAAGTTCATGAGATAGATGTGATTATTCATTTCATCTTAATTCTTACAAAGAGTAAGCAACTTGTCTAAGGTCACACAGCTTAAGACTGATACACACAAAGCAGCTGGACACCACAGACATTCTTTAGCTGCATATAGCATATGCATGTAGGTATTGAAGCAGGAGAGGAAGTCAAAACAGTGGCCATGTTCTTGGGGTGTGGTAACTCAACAGTCAACACAATAAGCTTCAGCGTTTGAATTGTAGTCAAGCTCAGTCAAGCAAAGCTATCTTCATTAGCAAACTTCCCCTGCAGACATCATGCACATTTTGATTTGTTTGGTCCTCACACTGACCCTTTGGTCATTATAATAGTAAAAAGCACACCCTGGGTGGAAATGTAAGATGCCAATGAGACATACGACATATGAACAAACATGTACAGCTACTGCACATGGGCATCCAGAAGACCACCCAGAATATGCTCACCAGTAACACCTCTTCCCAACCACTTATGAATCATCATGTAAGACTCCCACAAAGGGTGTCTCCCTAGCGCCTATCTTTGCTGTCTCATCCTTAGGAGCAGCCCGTCCTAAATCCTCACTCAGGGTGTACTGCCTATTCTGGACCTGACTTTCAGAGCATTCTTTCTCCTTTGCAATAAACTGCTCTATGCTGTATCTCCTTTGCTGTGTGTCTCTTGCTTAAATTCTTTTAAACTAAGAAGATAAGAACTGAGGTATCACAACAGCTGTCAACAGCATCTACATGTGGGGGTAGAGATGGATATATTCACACACATCATGAACTATGCTCCAGAAACCCTGATAAAACTTGA